TATATATGTATTATTTTTTAATATATATATATATATATATATATATATATATATTAGCATCTATTGTTTCATATAATGGTTTAAGTTTAAGTTTTATTTTTTTCTCTCTCTTCAAATCTGCTCTTGGCAATTGGAATTTGTTTCAATATCCCCAATTGCATATCCTACCCATTGAATTCACACTTAGTCAATTGGCACAAGTTCCAAAATAGACTCTAATAATATTTCATTAGCTCCATGAACCATTTATACTTTCTCTACTTATAATCAGTTATGTTTGAATGTGTTATTTACTTATTTATTTACTTTGATAACACCAATCAAATATTGGCTGCTAAAACATTTCTAAAAAAATTCAACCAATTTTTCTTTGAAGATACTCATACACACATGTGTATATTTGAATAATTTCACAGACATTTAAAAAAAAGAAAAAAAAAGAAACATGAGATCTTTCTAGCCAGAGCCCTGCACTGCTCATTACAATGTTGCTCTCCCTATCACACTTCAGTATCCTATTCTTCCTTTTCACTCCAGACTTGTTATTATGTGATTATTGGATTCTATCACCAGTAATAACAATGTTAGCTGTTTAGAGTGCATGTGGCTCACATTTACTCCATCAATTCCTATCAATCTGAACCCTAAAACCCTAAAGCGTTTTTTTCTTTATTGGTAGGGAAATGAGTAAATCTACATACATTCATTCACATGTTCTTAATGCACTTAAGAACATGTGAATGAATTAAGTATCAGTTTTCATGCTGATTCACCTCTATTAATAGGGCTCATGGTTTTCAGTGCACATAGAATATGCCATGTCAGCATGATTTATATATTATTTTTCTTGACTGAAAGGATGATCCTGCAACCAATGGACAGTTTCTTGAATGGACCCACCAACTATCTGTGGCATCGTAAACCCTAAACCTTAGACTGCAATGACCCAGCACAGACACAGTCTGCCATGTTGACAAGAGAAAAAGGATCTTTGAAGTTTTTTTTCTTGTTTTTGATCAACCAGACAAGTCAATGACACAGGCTAGAAATCATTGAAACAGTGCATAGTTCACAGCACCAGAATTACAGAAGTGGGTACTCCAAGTGTGATTATCATAGAGTCTGCAAAAGAGAACACACAAAAAAAAGTACTGACAAAAAGTAAGACATGGTCTGTGCCTCTGGACCCTGACAGTGCTCACACTTGCTTTGGTTGTTGGGCACACAGCATTGAGGTTCTTCAAGTTCCCCATGATGTTCTCTTAGGGTTTGCGTGGGAAGGAACAAATTTCCCCATAAAATAAAAAGGTACAATGACTACGGCACAGGAGTTCAGTACAATTGTCAAATGGGCAAGGGAAAAAATAAAATGAAAAAAAAAGGAAAGAGCCAAAAAGAAAAACTGTTTGCAGCCAAACTCCATGCCCTTGGACTAACACTATCTTCCATACACGTGATTTTGTTTCAACATATTATTATTATTGGAATTATGTCCTTTACATATCAAGTATTGCTTCCAATATTCTATTTTTGAAAATGTTTCAATTGTTTGTATGTTTACACAAATTTTCCAATGAGTGGAGAAAATGAAAGAGAATGTGTTCTTTTTTCCCATAAAGTATGAACATGGTTATTTCCTAAAATATACATTAGGAACTTCTCAAGAAGTAGTGTTCATAGAAATTTAAAATCACATTTCAGAAATCCCAAAAGATACTCATAGTTGTTTTAAATAATTATGTTATGATATTTGCCAAACATTTTAAAATCAAAGTATGAGTTGCCTTATTTTGAAAGTTATATATTTTTAAAAAAAAAAATTATGACTTCTTGTTACTCTATAATATCTCTTAAAGCAAAGGCCTCAAATGAACAAGTTCAGTAAGCAATATATGAGATTTTTATAAAATTTCTGGACCACAACCTTTTAAAGTAGCTTCTAGGTATAAATACCCCATAGATTGAGTTTTGCATGTGACTATGAGTTGCAAGAATGTTAGAGATTTAAAAAAAAAAAAAAAAAAAAAAAAAACTAAGTGAACATTAAGTATTTATTTTAGATAACGTTAAACTTATAAAATAATACTTTAAAACAAAAAAAAAACATATACATACTCGCACGCACACACACACACACACACACATATATATATATATATATATATATATACTACACGTATCATATATAAAAGCTTTAAACAAAATTTAATCAAGTAGAGCAATATATATATATTGAGTAGGTATTACTTGAATTATAATATTTATTTATTTATTTATCCATTTTACTTTATAATTGATATAAATATGGCATTATTAGATGTAAATTTAAACACAATCTGTGAGGAAAAGATAAAAATTAATAAAAATATAATATTGAAATTAAAAAATTATCTATTAGAAATACAATTTGAAATATATGTATGTGTGTATGTGCGTGTATATATATATATATATATATACATGTGTAAAAGTTTCAAAAACATAGTAGAAAATACTTCTTGTGTCAAAACATAGTTTAACAATTAATTGACTTTTACAACATTTAAGAAGGCTTGTAAACCACAATTTATACAAGTTTAAAAGTTATTTTCAGTAGATGAAAGATGGTATTAATTTTAAATCCAATAATTTTAATTGTATTGCTAAAATTTTATTTTTGGTACTTATATTGACTTACTATACAATGTATTTTAGAGAATCTTAAGACATTCAAAGACAAATAATCAACAATCCTAAATCAGTATAAGAATTCTTTAGAAACAAATTACAAACAGTTGAATACCAAAGCTTCTATTTTTTTCAATAAAATATATATGGTAATTAAATAAATTTAGTGAATTATTTGTATATTATCAATAACTTCAAAAAAAACAAATATCAAAAATATTAAAATCTGTAATAAAATATTATACAAAAAATATCTTGTAACCCTACATTCTGTATTCATGACAAGTGCTTTGCACAATTCTATATCTTAAAAGGACTAATTTGACTTATTAAATTATAGTGACTTGCAAAAAAGAACCAATATTTTGACATTTATACATAAAAAGAAAAGAAAAGAAAATAAAAAGTTTCATACTTTAAATGTTTTATACAATTTTCTAGAATGGCTATACTTCTGGATTTTAAAATTTGTAAGTAGATTTTTATTTTAAAAAATTATAGTAATTTTATAATAAATATCAAATCGGTATTTATTTGTTAATATTTTATTTATTATCAATATTTATGCTTCTGCAGAAGAAAGCAAAGGTGTGAGCATCAAATAGTATGCAATAAAATGCGAAGAGTGACCAATATTATATAAAAGTAATAAGTAGTTATAAGTAAGCTTTTAAAAAAATATAACTTATATGATTGAATTAAATAATTATAAGCAGAAAGATTTTAAATATGTATTTCATTTTGTCACTAAAAAGATTTTTTTTATAAAAGTAGGTTATATGTTTACAAAGGTTCTACCTTATATTGTAGTTATAGAAAAATGTGTTATGTTTTTAGTCTACAAAAAACCAAATTAAAAAAAAAAAAAAAAAAAAAACCCCTTTGGAGTCCAAAACGTGCATGATATTGTAATTATTTAAGGTAGTAATTAGAACAAGTATTAATAATCAACACAATCAACCTTCTATAAATAATAAAAAATAAATTATTTTTATTATGTATATAGTTTATTTTTAATTAATTAAATAAGTATTCTTTTTATAAGATCAAAAAACATATATTAGAATAAATTGTTGATAATTAATAAATGAGTCTTATTAATAGATAACAGAAAATTGAAGATAATTATGTATATTGGATGTAAAAGTTTAGTAAATCCAATGATGTAGTAGACATTTATAAGCACTATCAATATATATATATATATATATGTATTACTTTGCAGCTTTTGTTTCAAGATTGTAGCAAACAACAATAGAATAGCTGATGGATGCATGGTTATTTTAATAGTAAAAAAATCTTTTTCAGTATATTACATACTTTACTCATTTATGTCAATCATTTTGAATACACACAATTTTGTTTTTCTATAAAGATTAATAAGACAATTTAAAAAGATATAGGATATTTGAATCTACAAAACTATATAACAAGCATAAAATATTTATAATAGTGCACACTTATAAAATTAGAATATCTCATATGATTAGAATTTTTTTAATAAAATAATTAAGTGATAATATACATATATATATATATATATATATTAAAGACAATGGTGTTTGTGTGTGTGCACCTATTCAAAGGCATTACATCTCTTGATGAATCCATCTACAAAGTCATCTAGAATAATTAGTTGATTCATACTTCAATTGTCTTAATAAACAAGAAAGGTTTAGACTGACTCAACATCTAAGATTGATACCAAGAGCTATACATCATGAGTTTTAACTATATATTGTGTGTCTACTTTGTAAGAGACACATGGCATTTGGTTTAATTCATTTTTGTTGTTGTGATGCTATTTAAAAAAAATGTATATCTATTCCAATTAATTTCCACCTTCTCTACAAGCATTTGGGATAGTATTGCTTTATACTATTCATGAGGCAAATGAATGAACTCTAATAATAGTACATGTATAAATGTGGATGTTGTAAATGCCACCATAGTTTTTGCTACTACTATTGCAATCTATCATCCACCATATGTCACCACAATTTTTTCTATTACTACCACAATTTTATTTTTATTTATTTATTAAATAAAGATCAAATTTACTATGTAAAAAAATTTAAGTATACATACATACATACATATTAGAAATTTTAAAAAATATATAAAGTGGGTGATGACAGTAGCAGAAATTGTGATGACGAGATTGATGATAAATTGTAGATAATAACAACAATTATGGTGGCATTACCAACGCCCATAAATATACACACATGGATTACCTTGTGTCATCTAGTGGATGAATAATGACATAAAAGTATCATCCTTTCCCTCATTCCCTGTTTGTTTTCACAGCATATGTCAAGCTCCGGCTTATCCACATACTCATCAGTTCCCACAATCTCACTGGTTCCTACAAACTCACCAATTCTTTGAAATCAATATCGAGTATTAGGGTTACGTGGTTCGGGAGCATGCGAAGCTAGGGTTCGGGGGCTCTAAAAGCAGATCTTTTCTATCTGTGCGCATTGAATTTCTTTCTCTGACTTACGCGTGAAGTTTTGTGGGCGAGCAGAACATCGGGGTGAGACGGACATTGGGAAGGCAGGGCATGGTGGGGATGAAAACTCACTAAAACGAGCGAGCGATCGAGATGGATGCGCAGGTGGGATCCGTAGGCGATCAGCGCAGCTCTGTTGCGGAATCTTCGAACGAATTGGGCGAAGATTCTAGGGTTGCCAAGGATGGCTCAGAAGATGTCATCGCGCAAGGACTTGCTGCTGTGTTGGGTCCCGTGGTGCGGGAATTTGATGCAAGGGTAGAAGGAGCTCTCAAGAGCCAGAGCTTGCTAACCGGGAGCATTGATCGTCTCACCAAAGGTATGGTATCTGAGAATGGTTGGCCGAAGGAGGAGTTCTGTCTGGATGAAGCGGTTTTGCTAAGTGTGTGTCAGGTGGGGTTACTGGGTGAAAGAAATGGAATTCGGTACATTTTCCGATTTTCGTTGACATGTATCTTGTTGGTATTGTATTTTATTTTTATTTTTTTTCAGAGCTAGATAAGCTGTTAGAAGATACCCCTATTCCAACGGTAGCACAACACGCTGCCAAGCTATCTGATGTTCGAAAGCGTGTGGCATCGCTCATGTCTACCCTGCGTGTTATTCAAGGACGTATCACAAACATGGACCGGATGTTGAATGCCCGAGGTGTGTGTATTTTCTTGCACCTCTTGTAGGTTTGTATCCTCCTCAAATTGCGCTTTCAAGTTCGTGGGTGTACATCTGCAAGTACCTTGATTACTTTTGTTAGATGTGCGTTATACTGTACGAACCCACAACACCTGTTGTCAGATTGTATAGGATACTGATAGACCTGGGTATTGGATATAACGATGTTCCAACGTCCTCCTGAAGGTTCACCCATGATTTTGACTTGCCTGCTCCAGATGCGAGCACGTCACCTTTGCATCCCAGACCATCGCCATCGCCATCTCCACCACCAGGAAATGCAGCCCCAGGGCGTTGTTAATCCAAGTATCTGGTGCCGTGGAAAGCAGCTTCTTCAACTGGAACCGGTGGAAAGGGCACTTGATCATGCCTGGAACTTAGGAGGCTGTGTATTACCTCGTGCATGATATTAGCTGCAGAAAGTTTTCTGGTTCGGAGCTCACATTGCTCAAGAATAGGTGAGTACATTACAGTCTTCATTGTTAAGATTGGTCTAGTTGATGTGTTCTTAAATGTTATAATTTCATTTTGAGTGCTCACCCAATACGTCTTTGCTTGCTGTTGAGATCGTGGATGGGTTCAACATTTTTCTCTTTCAAAGTGCACTTCAAGCAAATAGTTTGATAGAATACTTGTCTTACAGCGCTTGAGCTGGTTGTGCGTGTTGTCGGCTTTTATGGCTGCTTCTGCATTCGCGAAGAGCAATCAGTTGTGTCCCTTCAAATTGCATTCTTTTTCTTCTTTTCGAATTGGCTTTTCTCTAATTCTAGTCAATATATGTTGCAGGTACGGCTCATCGAAAACCATTGTAAGTGTCGACAGTGCGTTGAATCTTCTGTCTGTGTGGGAGCCGAAAGTAAATGCTCATGTTCGAGTGGGAAAAAGAAGCATCCAATCTGAGAATTCCAATCGCAACATCCATACAGACGGATAATCCAGCCCAGGCCTAAACCCGTCTTCTTTTTACTTTTTAATTGGTCTTTGCCAATCGATTGTTTCGTAGTTTGATCAATATGTACTGTATGAAACAGACCTGTGAATATGAACTAGCATTTCAAGTCGTTTTGGTTCTTCTTCGGACCTGCAAGTTATCTTTGAAAAGAAAATTTTATGTACTCCTGATCCTATTTCATTTTTTAAGTTGACATTCTGCTCTTTCACTTAACATTAAACTAGCGTTCTTCCTTCAAAGCTGTACTTTGGTGCCGATGGTATAGGTGAGTACAATGTTTCGTTTTTATGCCATTTTTGTTCTGGAGTTTTTATATTCCTGATGGTGAGATGGAAATGAACTTTATTTTTTTATTTCAACCAACAAAGTTTGCAAACTTTTTAAGCTGAGAAAACCAATTTTATTATATATGTATACATATATATTTACATATATAGATATTTTTCAATTGAATAAATATACTACCAAGAAACTAAGCTCTTCCATGTTTATTTTTGAATTTCTCCTTGTTTTCAAAGTACGAAATATATACATTTTTCAATCTCTATCTTAGAAGTTTTTTTGGTAAGTTATATACATTGAGAGAATTGTGAATGTTATATCCTAAATTGATATTGCTACACACTTTGTGGTCTCATAAACACCTAGTTTTTTTTGCATATTTTCATTTGCAGTTGAGATGAAGATAATAAACATATTATTAAAAAATAGGTTGCACATTATTTTTTTAAAAACAAAACAGTTGTCTTCAAAATTGTTTAATTATTTGTTAATTTATTTTTCATTAAGTTGCCAAAAATATAAAAAATTATTTGATTTATTTTATTTTTGGATCAATGTTTGGATTGAATATTGGATTATCAAATACACCCTAAGTATAGAAGTTTTGTTGTGTTGTGACATAACAATATGGCAAAATATAGAAATATGAGTTCTATTTTAGAAGAGCCTAATTAAAAAATAAAGTAGAAAAATATGGATATAAGATAGAGAGGTAGTAAAACTTTTAGTGTTAATGCTATCTTTCATAAAAAAAGCTTTTACATACTTTGTATGGCTATAAATATGTCAAAATCAAGTAGATTTTTAAAAAAATGATACAAGCACCTTTAGAAGGGAATTAAGAGTAGTTTGTAGCAAAAGTTATCTTGAAAAATTAAGAATTGATATCCTAAGAGGACGAGTTGTGAACAAGGGTAAAAATTAGATCTTGAAGCACAAAACTATGCATCTATAGCAATTCTATGGTTCTTTGGCAAATTAGAAAGCCATGTTTCAAATAAAAGTTATTATTTTTAAAATATAAGTTTAAAACATAAGAATAAAACATAAAAGATAATATTTTTTCAAATATAGTTTTTAGTTTTGATTAAGTTGATCATAAATATATACCTTTATTTTTTTTATACAATCTATAAAATTTAATGGTTAAATTTTAAATTTTAAATAATTTTAGATTTTAGATTTTAATTATTTATTACTTAAAACCATATTATAAAATATGTTTAAAAATAAATAAATAAATAAAATTAATTTCTAATTTTTAAAATAAATTATTTTATTCTAATATTTAGTTAAATTATTTTAAAAATAATGTATATTTTTTCTAATTTAGTGTAATAAATATTATAAAATTACAAGTGTATAATTTTTTAAATAAAAATAAAGTAATAATATTATTTTTAAATTTTCTTATATTACAATATATATATATATATATATATATATATATATATATTTTATCTCTTAACAAATTAATACATTGTCTTATAAAAATGTCTCATACATTCTTTTAGTTCTTGATACTTTTTACTTAAAACTATTGAGTTGTGTTTTAAATATAATTTGAATATCATCTTTATTATATATATATATATATATATATTGATTTTAATAATTTTAATATTTTAATCAAATTATTTTTATAATTTTTTATATAATAATATCTTTTAATTTATAATAATAGGTCCAATCTTTTTTATTTTTATTTTTATTTTTTTATTCTTAACCTATTTAATATTTTAGAAAAAATAGTTTTTAAAAATAATTTATAAAATAAAATTTTAATACTTGACAATAATATTTATGTTTATTTTATGTAATAAAGGTAATAGTGTTTATTTATAAATAAAATAGTTTTATATGTAAATTATTTAAGATGTTCAATATCTATCTACATTAATCTACCTCGTTCAATTAGTAGTGTAATTCATCAAAGTCTCTAACACATAATAAAACACAATAGTTAAAAATCTAGAAGGTTATTAGTACATGATGGCTTTTTGTATAAAAAATTAAGTTCTAGTCATAATAGACCAAAAAGCATATCGAAATAGTTGTAGTGTTTGCAATTTTAACTTGATTATAATAAAATGTACAACCTATTATTATTATTTTTTTTTTAAAGATAGTTGTTGCACTATAATCACATAGTCATGCAACAATTGTATTTAATGACATAGTCATGCAAAAATTATCTTTAAATCATGATTGTCGCATGATTATGTGATCATGATAAAATTAAGCATAATTTTACTAAAAACTTTATACTTTAATATTCAAATTTTAAATTCTTGTATCATTCAAATACACTTGAAAATCACTCAAAGATGGTATAATATTAAATTAGAATGGCTATTGTTAAAGGCAAGAAGTTTAGAAAGTCTTGAAACAAGACCATGGACTAAAAAGGCATTGACAAGAGTAAAAAAAGGCTTCATTCTTGCCTCCAAATATATTATCTAACTACAAATTTTATGACAATGTTCTATGGGACTTCCAACATGTGTCCAATTTGCAAGACATGTATCTTAATTTGTAAGATAAGTTTTGTATATGTGTGCCACATCATTAGCTTGTATCACAAGCTAACCACACGTTGTCATATTACGTGTTGTCTTGTTTGGAAATGCATTAGGCACTTGACTATGGAAGATGAAGTTGTATTTTATAAGTATCTAAGAAATCCTAATAGATTTCCTCCATATAAAAAGAATGCGATTCAAATTCAATTCAAAAGAGCTTAAAGCCAATACAAAGTACTTACAAATAATCTTCTTAATAACCTCAACTATATATAAACTGTCAAGGACAAGAACATGATAAAAACAAATAAACAAGTGAGACTTCTCTCAAAGAAAGATGACAAAATAGAAATAATTTGATATGTATATTAAGAAAGAAACTGGAATGGCTATTGCTAAAAGCCAAGAAAACTAGAGACCCTTGAAACTAGACTAGAAGCAAGAAAGGAGTTGACAAAAGTGAAGAAGGCTTCACTCTTGTCTCTATATATACTATGTAACTAGGGGCTACATGGTGACGTTCTATAGGACCTCTAATATGTATTGACTTTGTAGGACACATGCCTTGACTTACAAGGGAAGTTTTTCTATGTGTAGGCTACATAGTTAACTTGGTCTTCAAGCTAACAACATGTGTGGCACATGGCCAATTTGTTGACAATGTTTCTAATCTCAAAAAGTCAATTAAAGACACATACAAAGTCAAAGCAGTATCTATAAAGCTTCTAGGAAGCTTCCATATCAAATACTATAGAATTAACTTATTTTTATCTACTTTTACTTACTTCTACCTATTTATACATGTAATTATTGGCTTACATGTATATGTCCATGACATTACCCCCCCTTCTATGGACGAGTTCCACAAGGAGCGGTAATCATATGTTGAAGAAATCTATGATGCGACAAATTATATTCGCCACATACTCTGATCTTTGTTCTCTTCGAAGATGATTGATAGGGTCTGTCAACTATCGGTAGTGTACTATATCAGGGCAGGAAGACCACCCAGTTATTTGATCATTGTTAAAGCCTTCATAACTTCCTTCGAATAAAATATTTGGAATACCATCAGGAGTTGTTCCTACCTCTAGTAAAATCACCAAACATCAGAAGTTCCTTCCAAGGTTGTGATACCAAACGCGTTGTATTTCACCATCTATTCGAGGAAGAACATGTTGTTCTTGAAGATCTTCATCTCAATTGCATCGTCTTAAAGGTTGTAACAATCATAATGTCTCGTCCGGCAAGTCAGCAAACAAAGGCTCTTGAGTCAAATCCACTGGTTGTTGGTTCTCCATCTTCTGAGTGTCACAACTACAAAAAAGCTACAAACAAGGATTGAAAGTAGAATGTTATCTTGCCTAGATCTTATTTCTTCTATAAAGAAGATTTTCATCTTGATTTTGATGGATGTCATCGATGAAAAGCCTCCACCGTCTTTCTTGCATTTACAAGATTCTTTACCGGCTCCCATGTGCGTTTACTAATATCATATCTGTATCAATAGACAAGTTATTCTAATTTATTTTGATGCCGCCTTAAATCTAAGACTTCTTCCACTTCAAACTCTTCATTATTGTCTACTTCTATAGGAGGAGGTGGAGCTTGTCTTCTTTTTGATATGTCCACTGTCTTGTATGGTTCAAGAAGAGACATGAGGAATACTAAATGGATTTTCATTGACTCCAGTAGATATAAACAATATGCAACTGGATTGATTTGTGCAGAAATAAAAAATGGTCCAAGCCTTCGATAGTCCAATTTGTCACAAGGACAAGTGGTCTTGATATTGCGACAAAATAACTATACCTTATCATCCATGTGAAATGGTGGTTGTTCCTTTTGATAGACATCCGCATTGATCTTTTGTTGTTCTTGAGCTTCTTTTAACTATGCCCTTATCATTGCATGTAGCTTTGACAAATGAATTGCTAAAACTTTTGCAGCAAGATTATCAACTTTTGTAAAGTCAAAAGTATCAAGTCGTAGATGATAATCATAATTAGCAAAAAAAGGTGTTTATTTTGTAGAGGAATGTATCATGTTATTGTAAGCAAACTCTATCAATGGCAAAAGCGTTGTCCAATCATCTTGTTGGTAGTTAATGGTACATCTTAATTACTTCTCCAAAACTTGATTAACACGCTCCGTTTGTCCATCAGTTTGAGGATGGAATGTCGAAGATAGTTTTATATCCACTTTTAGAATCTTGAAAAGAGTCTACCAAAATCTTGATACAAATTGAGTTTCCCTATCTGATATAATATCCTTGAATAATCCATGATAGCCATAGATATTGTCAAGAAAGAGCTTAGCTATTTTTTCACCTGTGATAGATTTTTTATATGGTACAAAATGTGCCATCTTGGTAAAACGATCTACTATCACGAATACAGAATCATAAAAACTTGAG